GGAGGATAGAAATAGGGACGGGCGGGCCGCGCCAGTCACCGCGACCCGAACAGAGCCGACCTGAGCCACGCCGAGCGGCGCCGAGCGAGGCGGCCGGATCCCTGAGCACCCATGCTGCTGACGCTGGCCTCGGGGTCAGTCTTCTTTCCGGGGCTCTTCGCGCTCTCCACCTGGTGGCTGCGCCGCTCGCGGCCCGAATGGACAGGCAGCGACTGCGTGATGATCAGCACCAGGTACCGGGGCGAGGTCGGGCGGCGGAGGCTGGGGCCAGGGCGCTGCCCACCCCAGCTCGCCGCGCGCAGGCTGCACCCTGACCTGGGCTGCGCCTGCCCCCGGCGCTGAATGAGAGCGGAAAAGGGGGGCGGCAGGAAGCGAGGGGGCTGCCTCCTTGGCTTCCTTGACCCCTCTGGCTCCAGTGTGCCAGAGTTTTCCGAAGACCCTGTGCATCCTCCCCGGAGGAGGGAGGAGGAGGGTGGAGGCTGCCCACGCTAGTCAGCACGGGGAGGGGAGTGTTTGTGCATCTCTGGGAGCCTGTGACCAACATCTGCCAGCTGCTTTGGAGGTCGGGAGGGCGGCGGCAGCTCAACCATTTTCCTCAGCGCACTGGCAGCCTAAGGAAAAGTCAGGTTGAAGAATTTTGGCTTTGTGCTGCCCCATAGGACTGGCATGAGTGCGCTTTTTGTTCTTTTCTGCCCCACATTAGGCTGGTTTCTTCAGTGCAGGCTGTGCTGGCCACCGGGTCTGGGATCACCATTATCCGCTCCTGCAAAAACGTGGTCACCGACAGGTAATATCCAACACCAGGGAGAGGTGCCCAGATAACAGGGCTAAGGAACTTCTTTTCAAGGTCCTATATTTTTAGTGGTTCACAGGCACTAGTTCATTATCAGCACACACTGCTAGGTAGCTGATTAGTGGGAAGAAATTGGACACAATAATTAGTCCATTCCTCCTCTCCTTCCCTCTTTCAGCATCCCCAGCTTGGGAGAAAGTAAACTGAAAGTAAACTTCATTTCTGAAGAAATGCTAGAGAATAACATTCTGAGTCTGATTTAAGGTGGCAGGTTAGAGGACAGTACGGTCCACTGATCCAAGTGCTTTGTGAGATAGGTAAGTTGTGAAAATTATTCAGAAGTGGGTGTGTGGCTTTTGGTTGAAATGATGTCACTGGGTTCCTGCTCTGGAGGATCCATTGGCCCAGATCTGTCCAGTGGTTAGCAGTGCTTTTCTAGTGAAAAAACCACCACCACCCTCTTTCTCACAAGGGCTGCTCCCGTCTTTCCTTTGGATTTGGCAAAGGTGATGAAGAGGTTTCTGGGGCTTTCAGAAAACTGACTTGTGTATGTACTAAGGAAACACAGTGGGAGCATTTTTACTCTGTCCTATAGGGTCTTTAGCTCTGGTAGCATAGTGCCTAAGGCACTTGACTGCTAACCAGAAGGCTGGCGGTTCAAACCCACCAGCCACTCCTCAGAAGGAAGGTTGGGCAATCCTACTTCCGTAGTGATACTGCCTCAAAAAAACCCAAGGAGGGGTCGCTATGAGTCGGGGCCAACTCGACGGCAAAATAACAACAACAACAACAACATAGGGTCTTTAAGGGTCAGAATCCACTGATGGCAGTGGCTTTATGTGTCTTGGAGCTCAGGTCAAAAACAGGTCAGGGAATGTACAAACACGTCCACAGTTTCAATGAAATAAATCATAAATTAAGAGCAGGATGGTACACTTTGTGAGTATTTAGAGCTGGGCAGTGGTGGTCTTCTTACTTTTCTTTTAAGCCTTTTTCTTTATTTCTCACTTGTCTTCCTAGAACCACTCTCATTTTCTCTCAGTTAAGTTGGAGAGCAGTAGTCAAATCTGCAGGGAAAGTTTAATAGCCATTCCCTGATGCTTTCCTCATGCTGACTCTGCAGAGTGTCCTGCTTGTCACCTGTTGGCACTGGAATGCCAGGGGAGCCCTTGCATCCATCTCACTGAAGCATGCATATTTGGTACCTGGACCTTACTTAGGATTAACCCTGCCATTGGGCATTTTGTGTCCTATTTGTGCTATGCCTCTTTTCAGACAAAGCCACTTACTGGTGATAAAATGTAGATACTGAGAGAAGGAAGATAGGTCATGTGACCTTGTATGTATATACCAAAGGCTTAATAGTATTTGTTGGCAGCGTTCAGTTATTTTTATTATATTTTCTGATCATGCAGCAATCTCCCACCTTGCTCCCTTTTGTCTGATCAAACTTGATACCAGCCTCCTTTCAAGCATTAAGGTAAAGCAAATGAGATTGACTGCTCTAGCCGCCCCCTCAGCACTAACTAACTGGAGCTCACCTGAGGGCAAGCAGCAGAGGACCGCTACACATGTCAGGAAAAATTACTTGTCCACAACTTTCAATTCCATAGCCCCGTGATGTGTTATGTCCCACACATGTATTTTAGTGGCTAGAGCATGATGGCAAACCTGAGTTTGATTTTCAGGTTCCCCCTTTTATGTGTCTTTAGGCCTTAGATTCTCTATTTGTAAAATGGAGACAGATGCCACATTTCTGTGCCCTCTGCCTTCCTTTAAGGAGCTCTGGTGGTGCAGTACCTAAGGCATTTGACTGCTAACTAGAAGGTTGGTGGTTCAAACCTACCAGCTGCTCTGCAGAAGGAAGATGGGGCCACCTATTTCTGTAAAGATTTACCATCTCAGAAACCCAGTAGGGGTCGCTGTGAATTGGAATAGACTCAATGGCAGTGAGTTCAGTTCTACCTTCCTTTACATTGAAGCATAAAGATGCTCTGAAGGTACTTAGATCATCTGAAAATGGAAGGTCTTTAGGGGCTTGTACTATGAATCCAAATACTTCTATTATATGCCTTCTATTATGCCTTTGGGAGCTCTGGTAGCATAGTGGATAAGGCACTTGACTGCTAACCAGAAGGCTGGCAGTTCAAACCCACCAGCCACTCCTCGGAAGGAAGGTTGGGCAATCCTACTTCCGTAGTGATACTGCCTCGGAAACCCAAGGAGGGGTCGCTATGAGTCGGGTTTGACTCGACGGCACATAACAACAACAACAACAACAACATTATGCCTTTATTTAGAGCATCTGTAGGTGGAAGGGGGATCATCAGCATGGTACATGATCATCTGCAGAATTTAGTGTGGGGTCAAGGATTTCATCAGATTCTTAAAAGGGTCCAGGCCCCTAAAGAAAAAAAAAAGGTTAAGAGCTGCAGCTTTAGACAATTTTCTCAAAGTAGGTACCTGTACTTGTCATTGTTGTTAGCTGCCATGGAGTTGGCCTGACTCATGGTGACCCTGTGTGTTACAGAATATGACTATCCCATAGGGCTTTCTTAGCTGTAACCCATATGGAAGCAGTTTGCCAGATCTATCTTCCACAGAGCCACTGGGTGGATTCAAACTGCCAACCTTTGGATTAGTAGCTGATCACAAACTTCTTGAGCCACCTAAGCTCCTTATATGTAATGTAGATAGCGCTTTTTACACTTAGGAATCCCTGGGTGGTGCAAATGGTTATGCACACAGCTACTAATCAACAGGTGGGTGGTTCAAATCCACCCAGAGGTGCCTCTGAAGGAAAGCCTGGCAATCTCCTTCCTGAAAGATCATAGCCTTTTAAAACACTGTGAAGCACAGTTCTACTCTGAAATACACAGAGTCACCATGAGTCGGAATTGATTCGACGGCAGCTGCTTTGGTTTGTGGTTTTTAGATTAAAAACACCTTCACATTTTTAGCTTTTTAATCTTCACAAGGGAGTAACACAAGGGTTATTATCCTCATTTTATAAAGAAATCTAAATCCCTGGCTACTGGTAGTTAAGAGTATAATCCAGATCTCTTGCTAATAATAATAAATCTTCAAGGAATTCTAACTAAGAGCCACAATTTTCTGATCTTATTGCATCCATGTGCAAAATATTAAAATCCTAGGGCTCCACTCAAAGGGAGAGGCCAGTTGTATTCCAGCCAAGGTTTTGGTAGCTCTGTGATTGTTATTTTGCTTGGAATTGCTTTAAGCAACTGAGACCATAGTTGAGCAGTAGAATAAGTATTGCATCTTCTTGTACCTAAAGGGAACCTGGTTAATTCATCTGCAAGTATATTGTATTTGCCATTACTTACCTCTTTGCCTTTATTTCATTGCATATTATTTAATTACGCTATGGTAAGCATGAACAGAAACTTTTCAGGAACAGAAACTGAATGGCACCATCTGTAGGTATGTTTCCAGGGCTGCAGTACAGTTGACTGGCTCCTTGGGAAGTCACCTGAAACATAGTTAAACACACAGACTCGGGAGTCCTACATGTACACATTTAGAATAGCTGGGAATGGAACCCATAACTAGCACAGAAGCTGATTCTGATGTTCAGATGGTTTGAGAACCATAGAAGTAAATTCTCTTCTCCCCTACATGTAGATACTCAATAAAAATCTTCGAATCTAATGGTTCTAGTCCTTTCCAAAGGGGCGCTGGTTACACAATGGTTAACATATTCAGCTGCTAACCAAAAAAGGTCTGCAGTTTGAACTCACCAGCTGCTCCACAGGAGAAACATGAGGCAGTTTGCTTCTGTAAAGATTTACAGCCTTGGAAACCCTATAAGACAGTTCTGCTCTGTCCTGTAGGGTTACTATGTATCAGAATCAACTTGGTGGCATGGGGTTTTTAATCTTTCCCAGCAGAGAACATAATTTTGACTTCGTTGTTTTTTTTCATATAAACTCTCTATAGAATGCTTAGTTAACATTGGGGAACAAAATTGTATGAATTGTAGAGAATTTCCTTCTAATACGTTCTATGACGGAATGAAACTTACCATTTCAATTGAGCAAGTATTGATTCAACCCCTTTGGATAGAACTGACACAGCATGTTCATACTTGAGTTTGGGAAAACTCATTTTGACAGGTAAATGGGGCCACTGTCTTTTGTCCCAGCTTCTCTCCTGGTATCTAACTGCTATAAAGTAGTCCTTAAACCCCAGGCTCACTTGCAGACATACTTTTCTTAATGAATGGAATTGGGATTAGCTACATAGAACTACAAAGAAAATGGCTTCCCAGACACTCCCGAGAGTGGAGTTATATGCAGATGCCAGAGGAAACTCTTTGGTTCAGGGCTTTCAGTGAGTAGACACCCAACTATTGAGCAACAGTTCAGTTGAGGGGAGTTCAACTGGAAATATTGGGTTTGGGATTTGGGACACCTTCCAAAGCAGTTTCTTGGTTGGGCTGTTGAATCATTTGTATATGTATCTATATCAAAGTCAGCTTATATCACAAAATGCAAGAAAATTTATTACAAATGAGTAGCTAAGTTGGGCAGAAAATGAAACAATGCCAGCAAGTCACTTAAACACTTGGTGGTGCTGAGTGAATCCCTGGTTTCTGTCTCTTGACGCTTATGAATTTGTCCTGCAATTTAGAGAAAGTTGTTCACTGCCCTTGTTTGTCAGCATCAGCATCTTCATTCTAAAGTATTTGGGATAGAAACTAAGCTGAAGGGAACATGTTTGAGAAGAAGTCGGCTTTGAGCATTCATAATCAGTATTCATCATTGTTTTGTGGACCATTCATATACTTTCTTTCAGGCACTGGCTTGCCCGAGAATATGTTTGGTTTTTGGTTCCATACATGATCTATGACTACTACGCCATGTACCTCTGTGAATGGTACAAAACCAAGGATGAGAACCGCAGACACTCCCTCACCACTTTCCAAAACTTCCTAAGTCATAACCGCCTTATGATCATACACCACGCAGTCATTCTGTGCGCCCTTGTGCCCGTTGCCCAGGTAAGGCCTCCCAAGACTAGCAGCCTTGGTCATTCATTTTCTCCCACTGAGCTGGAAATCTTGACCATTTCTTGAGTCAGGCCTGCCCCTCTTTTCTTTCGCTTTCCTACTGCACCCACTCTCCGTGTGCCACCTACTTCAGCAGTTACACCCCTACCCCATGCAAATAGTGTAGACAGATAATTAAATCTAAAAGGGTGGTGAGCCTCTTCATCAACATCATTCTTTTCAGCAATCCCACAGGCCTCTGTGATTCCTTAGCATTTGTCAAAGGTCTGTCTTTAGTTCATACAATAGAAAAACAGTATAAAATACAAATATAATACAAAACAGTACTTTTTTAAATATGAGAGAGTAACTTAATCAGCGGGTTATTTGCTCTAACAATGCCAGAGAATACTGTATGCATCATTTTGATGTCACAAAAAACATGCAATCAAACACAGAGCCCTAGCCTTTCTCCCCAGATCCACTTTCCCATGGAAACCCACCCAACAAGGAAGAGAAATGGGAATGGAGAGAGGAGACTAAGAATTTCTGAGTATCTTCCATGTGACAGGCCCTTGGTTTTAAAGCTCATAGCTTTCTAAATATAAGAAATTATTGGCCTTATCCCATAGATAATGTCCCTGAGTGGCACAGTTTGTGCTCAACTATTAGCCTAAAGATTGGCAGTTGAAACCCATTCAGTGGTGCCATGGAAGAAAGCCCTGGTGATCTGCTTCTGTAAACATTATAGCCAAGAAACCCTTTGGAGCAGTTCTTCTCTGTAACACATGGCACCACCGTGAGTTGGAATCAACTTGATAGCAGTGGGTTTGGTTTTTTGGTTTTAGACCACAGATGAAGAAACTGGGGCTCCAAGAATTTCTTTATTTCACTCAATGGTAATAAGTTGCAGAGCTGGTATTCTTGAAAGGGACAAAGAAGAGGCAGAGTGAATGGAATTCTTTAAGAAGACTCTCTTGATTCCATTGGGACCCTAACATCTAGCTCAGGGCCTGGCACGTATGTTGTTGCCCTGAGCTGTCATGACTAAGTTAGATACCCAGAAGTAGGCTACAGAGTATCTTCTGGCTTTCACTGAAATACAGGGAAGGTTTGGTGTGTGATGCAACCAGCCTATCTGAACTTGCCTCTGGATCCTAGGGATCCAGCCATCAAAGTGCTATTGCTATAGAAGCAGCATTAATACATGCTGGGTCTCTGTTTACCCAATTAGCATTTCCCTTTTTCCATCATGGTCTTTCATGGTTGTCCTTTTCTATAGCCCTGGTTAGAATTTTCCATCTGGTATTTTCTTAACCTCCATTTCTTATTTCCCTTTTTCTCCTTTTCCTCTGCAGAAGCTTAGGGGAGACCTGGGGGACTTCTTTGTTGGCTGCATCTTCACAGCGGAACTGAGTACACCGTTTGTGTCACTGGGCAGAGTTCTGATCCAGGCATGTATGAGTGAAATGGCAGGAATAGTGTGGGAAGGAACAAAACTGCTTTTCCTTTGTGGATTTGTGGGCTTGGAGAAATTGCTAGGTGCTAGGAATAGTGGGAGAGGAGAATTTTCAATCGACTTGGAGGTCAATAGATCATTTGAGCCAGTGAAGAATGAAACTGTAGGTTTAATCCAAGTTGCTACAGTTGGTTATATAGTTTTTTCCTGGCCACAGATTGTTTTCTCAATCCCACTGTTACTGTACTCCAGTCAGCTGAGTGGCTCAGACCAAATGCAACATTGCTATTGGAAAAACTACAAGGCTATATGCATGTATAAATATAGCTCAATAATCTTTCCTACAAGTCTCAGAAAACTAGATGCTTAATTAGGTGCCAAAGAATTTAACAGGGGTAGCATGTTTACTTTCCATGTGGGAGACCGACATGGACCTCACTCACAGCCCCTACCCGTCCGTCAGTGGAGGCTTGCATGTTGCTGTGATGCTGAACACAGCAGGGCTTCCACACTAAAATAGAGTAGGAAGAAAAGCCTGGAGACCTACTTTCGAAAATCCGCCAGTAAAAACCCTGTGGATCACAGTGGTCTGATCCTACTGTGCATAGGGTCATCACAAGGTGGAGGACCAACTCAGTGGCAGCCAACAACAGGTCTTAATTAGTACTTGTATCTGCTTGGTCTTTACTGTTGTGGAACTTGGGCAGAACAAGGAGTGGCTAATCATTCCCTGTTGCTCCAACCTCTTGGTGACTTTGCATTCTCCTCCCTTCTTTTGCAGCTAAAGCAGCAGCACACCCTTCTGTACAAGGTGAATGGAATCCTCACTCTGACCACCTTCTTTTCCTGTCGGATCCTTCTTTTCCCCTTCATGTACTGGTCCTATGGCCAACAGCAGGGACTAAGACTGTTCCAAGTGCCATTCCATATCCCTTTCTACTGCAATGTGGCCAATGCCATTCTCATCGCTCCTCAAATCTACTGGTTCTCGCTGCTTTGCAGGAAGGCAGCTCGGCTCTTTGACGCTCCCCAAGCCAAAAAGGATGGTTAATTACTCTGAGGAGTCAGGCAGTGGCAATGTCTCCTCACATTAGCTGCCCTGCTCCACTCAGTATTCTGTGGACCAGATTGTGCCTTGGATGGCCTTAGCCTTTTGGTTATTCATAAGCAGATGGGTTTGAGTTTTTCTAAAGAATATTCATATCACCTCCTTCTTCTAACCTGCCCCTTTTGCAAAAGCACTTTTTTCTTAGTAACAACTATTGGATCCTGTCAGACCTACACTTGCAGCAAGGTGGTTTTCATGCAAGATCAAGGATTCTTCCTTGGGTCATATCTCAAGGGCTCTGGGAGGTAGAAGCATGGGGTGTGGCATAAATGGACCAGGGTGATAAGTGCCTGGGCATCTGCTTGGCCTAATATTTTGGCATTAGCCTCCCAACTATACAACCAACCACTCAGGGCTAGTATCCACACATACCAGGCCAACAGAAGCAATGATGGCTTGGTTCTTGAAGTAATGTCTTCTTGTGATGTTGGTCTGGAAAAATCATTGTGGGTAGGTAGTTTTTTTTATTATTATTATTATTGTTTACTAAGGTGATGACACATTGGTTCTTTGCCTCATCATCTTATCCATGTGCCAACATTGAAGTCTCATGTCTACTGACTTCTCATCAGAAGTCTCACTGGTGGCAGTAGGTGGACACCAGAAGTGAGCATCTGAAGCACTTGAGTAGGTAGGGATGGCAGATAGTCAGCACTACCTTTATGGGCTGACTTGGTAAGAAGACCAGTATCAAACCGGTGACCTTGTTACAACAGTCATAAACACTACTCCATTTTTACCATGTCTCTTCAAGCCCACTCTTCCCATATCCACATGCCTAAGACTCTCTCATAAAACTATTGGGGCAGGTGGAACGATGGCTTCAGTAGCTACTTAATGCCACCCTTTGACATTGTCCTTTTTGTATGAAGTGGAAATAGACATCTTTGCTTCAAACCACGAGATGTCTCATCAAGACTGAAGAGTGCTTTCCACAGGGTCTCCTGATAAGCCAGAGTTTTGTGATCCAAAGCCCATTCCTGTATGACTGTACGTGCCTTTTAACCACAGAAGGCTGGGCAGCAAGAGTGCAGATAGCCCTGGCCAAAGTATGTCCTGTAGACTGATTTCTTCTCAAGGAGTCACCTGTTTCCCTTCACCCACCATTTGCAAATAGGATCCTCTCATGCCAACACAAACCATTCTTTGTGAACTAGGGTGGGTTTTAGAAACTGCTACCATGAAGTTTTTTTTCAAGTGGTAGTGAAACCTAGAATTTTTAAACTGTCTTTTAATTAATTGTTGTCCATGAACTTTTAAAGCACTGAATATGTAACAGTGTCTCAAATCTTGGCTGTTTGGGTGCCATTTAAAAAACAAACAATGTTGTCATTTTTATTTACCATTGTTATCTTCATAAATCACCCCTGTGATGATTAAATTGTACTAGTACCAGGTTCCCCCGCTATCCAAAAGTAGAGTGTTCCTATAAAACCTTCCATAAGCTGAAATGGGATAAAGTAAAGAAGCAATTATCATTAAGTTATATGGGAAAAAATTTTAAGCATTCCCAGACCCCCAAAATAACCTACCAAATAACGCATAAAACTAAAACAACATTAACACACCGTTGAACAGACACAGTTCAAAGCTATGGCAGTTCCTGGGGAGGAAATTTGGCAACACCACTCTTGCTGCTCGGTGGTGCATGCTGCCTCTTCAATGGTTTGCTGCAAAACAAACGCTAAACACAAGTTTCACTTTTCCCTTTTTTTTGTAAAAGCGATTGTGTTAGACTGGGTTCTCTAGAGAAACAAATCCAGTAAAGCTTATATATATATATAGAGAGAGAGAAAGATTTAGGAAAATGCCTCACACACTTAAAGAAGCTGGCAAGTCCAAAGTTCCTGGATCAAATGTCAAGCTGGAGGCTTTTCCCGACTTTTGCAGCTGCAGGGCCTGAGGAGCTCAGAGCTGGCAGGCAGTACACCAGCTGTTGACTCCAATGAATGACGAATCCAAGATCTCCAGGCCGAATGGTGGATTGTTCACTCACGGACAGTCGTAGGCAGAACAAAAGAATCCCAATCCACAGAAGAATGTCTCCCAGGATGTCCACAGATATACTGGAAGCAAGCCACACCCCTATGGCAACTCCCTTTCAACAGATTGGCCACTCAAAACTTAGTCATCTGATCCCATCATGGGAACAACCACACCACAACAGCTCAAACCACACAGAATTGTGGTCCAGCCAAGTTGACACACAGCTCCAACTATCACAGCAATCATCCTCCCAATTTCAGTCAATGAAAACAGGTGCTGATGTGGCCAAAACAGGTACACCTTTTGTAAAAGTGGCATAAAGTGAACTTTCAAAAAGTGGGGAATACCTGTCTCCCAACTTTCATTTGTGAGATGTATCAATACCAACTTCCTGTGAGAATCATCATGTGACCTGACACAATGGGCTGCTCTAACTTCTGGTCAATGTTTGTATCCAAAAAAATGGCAGAGGTAGTGGTGGGGGAGTGCTTTCAGCCTCCAGAAGGGCCACACTCATACCTTAATTGAACATATTTTTACAGTTCACGTTTCCAAGAATACATCAAAGGTCTCCAGGATGTAAGACCAGCTGGTGCCATGTAACTTTAGACCCTTCTTTCCCTCATTAGGAGTTGGGAGGGTGAAAACCCAATTGTTGGCTATAGAGCCAGCCCACTTTAGGTGGGGCAGGGAATCTGAGCAATGCCCCATTTCAGATGAAAAGTGTGGATATGGAGTAAGTAATGGGGCGTATCTTTTCCTTCCCGTCTCCTAAAATAAACATCTTGCCAACCTGTTCTCGTACTTCTATAATATACCCTGAACACCTTAAATTTGCATTTTTTTTTTTTTCTGCACACAATATTCCCTGTTCCCACTTTCTTCAAAACCATGACAGTCCCACCCCAGGCAGAAAATTACATTCTTTGAACACATCTCAACTGTGTATATCACACCTAGTTTGAGGATAGCCCCTTGTGGACCCAGAGTGGAGTTAGACAGTATGGAGTTAGAAGTCCTCAATTCAGAAGACACCTATTTTCTTGAAATTATTAATCGACCCACTTAATGCTCTTTTTTCATTGGTCCAGTTTTCGTTTTACAATGGTGTTGGCCTCTCGGATGCAGAAATCACATGGCCAAATGTTGGCAGAGCCAGGGCTAGAATTATCCAAGTTGCTGCCCTTTCCAAGCTACATTATGAAAAATATTAAAATGTTGAAGTGACCCATAAAGAGGGACTCTGAAAGAACACACATTCCCTGTAATGTTTTCCCCCATTGGGTGGTCTCACCTTTAGGCTTATTTGCCAGGTTATACGGTTGAGAAAGTCCCTGGGTGGTGCAAACAAGTTGTGTTTAACAAAGGTTAGTGGTTCAAGAAAAGCCTGGTGGTCTGCTTCTATAAAAATTGGAAGAAAACCCTAAGGAGCAGTTCGACTCTGTAACACACAGGGTTGCCAAGAGTTGGAGTCAGTAGGGTAAAACTTGAGCTGAGTTCAGTGATGAGAAAGACTTAAGAGACAGGATGAAACTCGAAAGAATTTTATTATAACTTGTATGTTACAAATACCTAAGACCTAAGAAACTATTTTCTTTACAATTTATTGCCATATACCTTTTATCTTGTGTACAATGTCACATTGCAAAGTTTGTGTTTCTTAGCTCTAGCCCCTACAGACCCACCCACCTTTTCTGATCTGCAAAGATCAGAAGTTGCTGATCTTCTGCAGCAGGGTGTAGCGCCACTCCTCAGGGTTAATGTTCTCGGCGATGGACTTTAAGAAGCGCTGCTCATTCACCTTCTGGAGCAAGGAACTAACAGAAGGATTAGGCTTGCTCAGGGTTTCATAGCAAGTGAGGATCTCCAAGGCCAAAACATAAAGTGGTTCACACACCTCTTGGTGGAGCATGGCCATGATATGTAGAACATGACAGAACATCTGGGTATAAACAAACAGGGCTTCCTGGGTCAGGTCCTGCTCTTGTCCTTGGCCCAAGGACTGTATCAACCTAACTGAGTCCAGGAGGTTGGTCAGACTGCTACAGAGGAGCTTGACCACATGGCTCCAGCCGTCTATAGGAAGCCAATTACGACAACTCTGGCTGCAGAGAAACTGGAAAACTCTCAGGAAGAGTATGGAGAGTTGGAGCTCCTGGGCGAAGGGCTTTAAGTTGAGCAGAGGAACAAACTGAATATATTCCAGGCTGTACGGGACATGGAGGAGCTGTTTCTCCAACAGTCTCCTGGTCAGCTGGTGAAGGTACTGCCACTCCTGGGGGCTGCACCAAGGCATGACTTGTACCAGGGCCACCAGAAAGCCCTTGCTGAACAGTCTGACCTCCTCTGGATTGCCCACATCTACCACCAGGAGGGAGAGCATCTGCTCACAGATACTGCTGGAGATACAGCAGCACTCCATCCAAGCCAGGAGCCCTGTGCCTGGCCCATACCCTGGGTGGGTCTGGGAGGTCCACTCACCCTCAGAAAGCTTACAGATCTCAAAAAGTGTGGCTGGCACCTCACACTTGAAGTGGCCCTCAAAGAAATTCTTCAGTCTTAGGCCCACAGTCCAGTCTAGCTGCTCCAACTTCTGGTGGAGCCAAGACAGGGACTTGATCCAGGTATCAGGGGAGAAGGTCTCCACATTAGCTAATACAATGTCACAGAGGAGTGCCAGGACATGGATCGCCAGATCCTTCTCATCCAAAGACAGGTGCCGCTTTTCCTTGGGGAGTTGCCAATATTTGCTGTAACAATCCAGGAGCTGGCACATGCTGAAAATGAGGGGGAATGGAGAGCAGGTCTGGAGCCAGTATTCTAAGCCTGCGTTCACTTCTAGAGTCTGGATGAAGATCCTCAGGCTGAGGTCTACCTCTTCAGCATCTAGCATCAAGAAAGGCAGGACAAATTCCTTGAGTACTTCATCTGGCTCAAGAAGAGCAGCAACTGGAATCCCCTGAGGCTTCACGGGACTCATCAGGCAGCTTATGAACTCCAAAAATTGCTTTTCTTCCTTGGGTGTTGAGAACTTTCCCCAAACAGTCTCTTTGAGGCATGACACCATGAACGTGGTAGGTGGGTTTGGATCCTGCTCTTCTGTGAACCTGAGGGCGGGGAAGGCACTGAGAATCTGAGCCAGGAACTTGTGGGTGCCGAGATTGACCACAGCCATGCTGCACATTTTCTTTACTGTGATTTCTGGGTGCAGGATCACCAGCCGGGCCACAGAAGCCACCGCATTAGCCAAGCCCTGTTCAGAGGCACTCTGTGAGAGCTGGTTAAAAGTGGTATTGAGGTCTTCCTGAAAACCCTTTAAGTATGCCAACAACTTCTCAGAGAGGCCTTTCCGCCCCCAGGAATCTAAGACACCTGAGAGAACTTTATTTTTATCTGGCAGCGAGAGGTCTGCATAACATTCCAGGATCAAGTCAACCACTTGTTTGACCTGAGACTCAGGGACGGCTCTGTCAGACGTGCTGACATCCATCACTGTTTCCAACAGCTTTAACACCAAGCCCGGCTCTCGGAAGAGAGCCCTGTTATTAATCAGGCAGGCGAGCCACTCGTCTGAGAAGGCCCACTTCTTCTCAGAGGCAAAGACATAACACATTTCCATATGCCGGTCCATCTTCTGCTCGATAATAGCCATGGCAATCGAGGCAGTAATGTCCTTCTCCAAGCCCTTGTTCTTCAGCACTCTGCTTGTTTTCCTCAGAAAGTCCTTGACACAGTCTGCCAACTCAGAGACCACCTGCCTTTCTTCCTTAGACAAGGTGGTGGTATCCAGGTAGAGCTTCAGGTTCTGGCTGAAGGAAGTCAGACTGTCACAGAGCCGGTAGCTATCGTAATTTGTTCCCTGGCTGCTATTGAGCATGGCCTGCAGCTCTTCCCCCCACTCCTGCAGCAGGCTATGCATGTACTCGAACCCAACAAAGAGCGTCTCAGTTGGGAGCCTGGCCAGCGAGCTCAGGCTGACATCCCGCTCTGCTTCCTTTACCTTCTCTGCCAGCGCCTGTTGGTGGTATGGGTTCTGGGTGTCTGAATTCCACACAGAGATCACGGTGGCCAGTTTGTCCAGATAGACAGTTGCAGACACTTCCTGGGGGTCATCTTCTACCAGTGCAAACACTGTCAGCATGTCAGCCAAGTTGGCTAATGCACAGCACTTCATTCCGGGACAAAGGATTTTATTTTGGATTTGCTTCAACCCATTGAGCAGCATGGCCAACAGGGGCATGGTAGGACACACATCTGGGTCTGACTTAAACCTCTTTGGAGGGTGGCAGAACTCATCTGAAGAGGACAAGTACTTATGGGCCATTGTCCTAAACTGGGAGAGCAAAGGGTCCTGCTGATTGCCCTTGTGTTTCATCATTTCCCACCAGATGTCTAGGAAGAAGGCCACATCCTTTGAGGAAGTGTCAACAGTCATGTGCTCCAAAAAGCGTTCTAGTTCTACATGGCAGATAGTGGTGGGCAGGGCCATTAGGAGCTGGATGAAGAGTCCAGAAGCTTCCAGGGACTTGAGCAGCTCAAAAAGGATTGTGTGATTGATGGTAGGGAGCATGTTGCCTACTGAGAAAAACACATCTTCCTGCCACCTGGTTTCAGTGTCTGCAGGGGTGGCAGGGTAGGGCTGAAGAATCTTGGCCCAGATGATTATCAGTGCTTTCTTCTTCCAGGCAAAGGGCTGGGAGCATGGTGTGGCTGAGATCTCCTTCAAGGCCTCCACGATGGGCTGCCCAACGTGTTGCCAGTCGGACTTGGTCAATTCTGCTAGTGCTTTGGGGCGGAACAGCTGCTCAGCCAGCAAGAAGCCCCCATGCAGAATAGTCATTTCTTCACAGATGTTCAAAGGTCCTGCATGGAGAGAAACCAAATGAGGAAGAACGTGTTGAAAATTTTTCAACATAATAAGCAGAAGTTACATAGAGAGACAGCACTTAGACTGGCTGTCATGATCAGGGATAGAGATGATAAGAGCTCTAGAAGAGATCAGTGGGAGAAGAGAAGGGGATGGATGGTTACAAGAGCCAATGCGAAGCTGGAGTGAGAGACTTAGCTGAGAAATAAAAAATGACTCCCAAGCTCCCTAGCCTGGGAACATCAGAAACAGGCAACAGAGGAGAATCAGAACAGGTTTGGAGGGAAGACAAGTTCAGTTTGGGTTATCTGAAGTCTGAGTAAAATGTTAAAGAAGAGGTGTCCTCCAGCAATGGGAATGCAGGCCTAAAGCTTAGAAACAATGCCAGCACTGAAATGTGACTGAGAGCTGTCTACCCAGAGTGGAGACCTGAAACCAAGGCTCAGGATGCCCCCCTAGAGCCCCAAAATATTGTCTCTATGACTCTGTAATTTTATAGCTTGGTAATTTTAAATTGATTTACAGCTGATCAGATGTTTGGGTCCCAACACACTTACCTTTCAGAGACAATATATACATATACTACTTGAGGTAGTAAGCCCCTGTCCCCATCCCCCAAGCAGTTAATACCTGGAGAAATTCCAAGTGCTTAATCACAAATGGTTAATTGTACTCGCGGGTACCCACCCTTTAGATTATTAAGTGCTTATTCTGTGCCAGGCACTGTGCTAAGCAGTACACACAGATCTTTTAGTCTTCCAGTCAACCTTTCAAAGGCAATTATTCCTGTTTTAAGACATGGAAACACTGAGGCCCAGAAACACTTAATTTGCTCAGGATGTCACACCTACATGGTGGGACACAAACCACCACAACTGCAAGGCTCCCAACTTTTCAAGCTCTACCACCCTACCACAGGAGCTCTGGTAGCATAGTGCCTAAGGCACTTGACTGCTAACCAGAAGGCTGGCGGTTCAAACCCACCAGCCACTCCTCGGAAGGAAGGTTGGGCAATCCTATTTCTGTAGTGATACTGCCTCGGAAACCCAAGGAGGGGTCGCTATGAGTTCCCCCCCGGCTTGACAGTACATAACAACCACCACCACCCTACCAGTGGAAGGCTGACTGGGACAGGGACCAGAACATTTCTCTACACCCCCTGAAGAGCATAACCAGCTGGGTGTGGGGTGAGAGGTCGGTAATTTAGGTTACCCTCTTTTTTTCCCAACCATGCCTAACAGGATTCTCAATCAAAATATAGGTAGGTTCAAAGGTTACCATCTCAGCTGCAGTCCTCCTGCAACAACTGCAAAGTTGATGTGTGCACGCTCTAGAGATGGCAGGTACCTGACACTGCCTGTATACACGCAAATTCAATTAAAATTCCCAAAAGTTCTGAAATAGACACATGATCACCACCTCCACTTCTTCGATGAGGTAACCTCAATCGATGTTCAATAAGTGCGCCCGTCAAGGCATTCTTGAGTTCCCTGGGGCCTCCGACCCGTCATTTTCCAAACCACGTGCACTAACCCTTTCCACTTTCAGGAAATCTAACTTCACATCCGTCTGGCTTTTCACACGGAAAGGGGCCTGGAAAAAGCAAGACACGCTCAAGTAGCAACCCGGCCGGGGAGAGAGCCTGGCTTCCCGATTGTGGGTTTCCAAGCACACTCCCGCCCTCCAAAATCTTTTCCACACCAGGAGGTATTTTTTGCCCCACGCCCCCATAGGCGTGCGCAGCGGGAGGGGGCGGGCTGAACTGTACCGCTCCAGTTTCCCGTTGCAGGACGTGGTTCAGTCGGGTGGGGGACTAGGGAGCCCAGACACCCACCTAGGTCCATGGCGGCGGCACTGGCGGCAGTCCGGAGCCGCCCCTCCCCCTCAACGGCCGCTAGTGCAGCGCAGGCGCCACGCCACAATGGGCGGAGCAGGGGGGCGGTACAACAGGCCTCACCTCAGTCTCGCTCAACAGTCTCAGCTCCCGCTCCCGCCCGGACCGCGGCCGACTCTCACCGCCTAGCGCGCACGCGCGGCTCCCACCAACGAGCCCGCGGCGTCGCGTCCGCAGCGCCACCTATCGGCCAGAGACCTCCCACCAGCCAACAAGTAGGTACCAATCTGTGTCCGGCTCTGGTTCCCTCCTTCGCCGGAATCCCAGTCTCGGTCGCGCTCCTTTTCCAGGTTCTTCTCAGATACACATCTGCCCAGTCTGGCTTCCTGAATACTGGTTGGCACATCCGTTAGCTTCATCCCTGGCCCCACATTCCACTCCTCCCCAGGCTGTCCACTAACCCGCATAAACAGACGCGCCACGTTATGGGGCATCCTGCCCCACAGCGGGTCTCCCCATCTCAGGAACACTCAAATGCCCCCAGCGCTTCTCATCCCACATCGCCTCCCTCAGACAGCCCACCTCACTTTTAGGGAAGTCTGAACGCCTCTGAGTAATTGATGTGTAATCCTCTCCAGAAATTTACTCCCTGAGCTAAAACAAAAAGAAACAGCAGTGGGACAGATCCAACCCAATGCACCGCTAGTTTGCAATCTGTACTTTGTAAAAACACACTTGATTTCCCACTGAGAAAACACACGGAAATATCCTGTGTTCTCCCCACACACTACCCTAGCTTCATTTCCCCTTTTCCCTTCTTCCCAGAGCTATACATCAGCCTCAAGTGTTTCTAACTTTGCACCCTATGAATCTCCTAGCTCGGACACCACCTAGAAAGGACAGAGGGGCCGGGCCTCAGCTACACGTATGTGCCAAGTGGAATTTGAGCTGGCCTGCGCTGCTGTCAAGGAGCTCAAGGGTCCTGTGAGTGATCAGGAGAAATTGTTGGTGTACAGCTACTATAAACAGGCCACCCAGGGTGACTGCAACATCCCTGCCCCCTCTGCTACAGATGTGAAAGCCAAGGCCAAGTGGGAGGCATGGAACCAGAACAAAGGGATGACCAAGATGGACGCCATGAGGATCTATGTTGCCAAAGTGCAAGAGCTAAAGAAAAATGAGGCTGGTTAGGCCCAAAGATTGGTGACAGAAGGAAGTAGCATAGCTCCTCTGGTAGGGAAAGGGTTTCTTAAGACCTCAAAAAACCTTGCTGGCTGAAGTGTCCTGATGGCGGTAGCAATTTTAGCTGAGACATCAATAAATTACTTAAACTGCACAAGAGTGACTATCTGCACAGTTGGGAAAAAGATAAAACTCAGAGTGACCATGAAAGTCCTGGGAAAGTGTCAAAAATTTATAAAAACCATCTCTCCTCTGGGTAAAATTACATCAGAAATTTCCATATGGTTCTGAGTAATAGCTAGCATTCCCAGCATTCCTGTTGCCAGAGCATATGTAGATGGCAGGAGTAAAGGTGTGGTGGGAAAACAGGACTATGAAAATGACCAAGATTTGAGGGCAGTGAAGCCATTCTCCAGGGATTCAGTGGTTCCTTATTTCTCAGGGGTTGTTGATTCACTACTGTCTTCCAAAATCCTAGAGTTAAGTGCCTGCTACTACCCAAAACCCCCATTGGAACGCAGAACAATGAAGTTAAAAGTTTTAAGGGAAGTCAAATTGTTTGTAACCACGTACTGAAGTAAGTGAGGCATCACAGCATATCACTTGACAAACACTAGGGCAGATGGTTTCAGAATCTCAGCCTCTGAAAGCCTCAACTAAAACCTAGTAACCAAAATCTCTTAGGACTACCTCCTAACCTTGGTTTCTGCCTGGAGATGTTTATGGAACAATATACATAGATACATGTACATGAGTAGGACCCCTAGTGATGCAGTGGTTAAGCACTCAGCTGCTAACCAAAAGGTCGCCAGTTTAAACCCACCAGCTGTCTTTAGGAGAAAGATGAGACAGCCTGCTTCCATAAAGATTACAGCCTTGGAAACCCTATGGGGCAGCACTACTGTGCTAAACAGTTGCTATGAGTTGGAATCGACTCAACGGTACAGAACACATATAGATGGAGATTGTTTTAGGACACAGTACACCCCTCATTTTGCTTTGCAAGGGCCAAAGGGTCTGACCTCAGCTCCCACTCCCTATTGTTGATTATCATGGAGGCAGCAGTGCATAGAGCATTGTATTGGGTGGCTGGGCTTTGGAGTGCTAAACAGTATTGTTAAAGACATTTCAGAGAAACAGGTGTGCTGTGGCATGAGATTTCAAAGTACTTTTCTTCAAAAACTTTTTATACATCATGACATTAGATGAACCCCACTTCGTGACAACCATTAAACAATAGGAGTAACCAAAATAAAGACGTCAAGAGAACAAATAAAACCAAATGTCACCAGATACCTTCAAAACCTTCTGTCCAGGTATTTGCAGGAAGTTGCTATAGACAAGAAAACTACTACTTTAAGAAGGCAGTACACCCAGGAAGGAGTCCACAGTCGCTAAAGAAGTATTCCTTCTGGCCTATACCCAGGCAAGAGGTGTGCTGCAGAACAGCAATGCTCTTCTCTGGGGGGTATTATGAACACAATTTGATACTTTCAGGACTAGGCTTCACATTAAATGAGAATCAGTAAAAATAAACATCAACAAAATGGGTCAATTTTAGGAGCTCTGGTTGTAGCCATACCATTCTGCAGCCATTCATAATTTATAAAAAAAATTGCCATAATTAGAAATGCAGGAAGCACTTGTGGTTTATCCCATAACTATATAAAAATGAATGCCGAAGAGCAGAAAACCTAACCCTCCCTGTCCACTTTTAAAAACAATAAAAATCTTGTTTGCCAAAAAAAGGGAATGCCTAAAAGTCAGCATGGATTAGTTCCCCTTGCTTCCCTTTTCCAGTCACCTCTTATATATCATCTTTTCTCTGGTTGGCAGCTGTGACTAACCTAAACCCTGACACTGTTATGTATTCCCACAGCCACACTGTAATGGGGTTCTGATTTCTCTCAGATTAACACAGGGTCATTATGAGTTGGAACTGACTTGATAGTACCTAACCACCACCACCACCACTATCTCAGGATAATTATACTTATCATAAAGGGGAAGCCACTGAAAATACATCTAGGATGTCTCAGTTCTGCAGATGATCAATGTAAGAAATGAATTACTTGACTATATAAATCTAGAGTGAAAAGCAATGGCCTCTTCTAAGATTGGGTGTGTTAGAAAGCAATTTTGGAAAACACAATTTTAATGTGAAAAGCACAATGAGATATATGGAGAAGAGGTCTATAATTATTCATTTGTAGCTTTGCTTGGAATAACAAGACTGGAAACATCCCAATATTAATAAAATATGGCACGTTAATTTCCATAGAACTGAAATTATGTACTGAGAGGAAAGATCTCCAGGGTACCATTATTATTTTCTTAAAAACAAGGTATAGTGTACATAGTGTGCTAATTATGTGTGTGAAATTAGAAAACATTTTTGTATTTGTTTACAAGTCATTACCTGTGTGTGTGTGTGTGTGTGTGTGTGAAATGGAATCAATGAGGGCAGAGCTAGGAGCAAGACTTTTCAATTTATACCTTCTTAAATTGTTTTGATTTTTGAACCATGTGACTCTATTATTTAATAAAAAGATCTGAAGTAAGGACACTTCCTTACTGGTCATTAAAGGCAGAGTAAATTTTCTGTTGATTTCTCACAGGGTAAAGGTTAGAAATCTTAGACCAAATGGGCAACTTCCCATTAACTCCTGCCATCCATTTCAGTGGACAAGTTGGAGCCCTCCTGAAAACTCTGGCTGCTACACCACAGTGGCATTGTGTGATAGGAGAGATGGATAGAAAGTGTCACATGAAGGAGCACTGAATGTCCATGGACTTTGCTGCTTCCACCAAGCTGTCGTGCAGACACAAACTTCATACAGCCAGCTCTCCAGGTCACCCTAGAACTCTTGCAACATGGCCACTCAATATCTCTCTAAATTTAAACTCAAGGCATGTTTGAATTTGCACTTAACATACTAGAACTTCAAAACCCCTCAATTAAAATAACAAAATTAGTATTCTGAAAATGTAACTATAGAGAAACTAAAGACCTTTCCAACTTCATCAGTTTACAACACTAGCCCAGACAAAATCTTATAATCTTTTCCAATTGATTACATTATCCTCAGAGTACATCTACTTCTCACTTAATGATATGGTAAGGTTCCCAAATGTGAAAATTGGTGTTATGTGAAAATGGAGAAGGACCACATCAATCACAAAACAGAGGATGACTGCATAATTATATAACTACCAAACCACTGAGAATCATGGCACAGTCAGGCTGACACATAACCTTAACCATCACAGCCAGCATTACTCTCACTTAGCACCTTGGTGTTTGTTATTGTCAGATATACATCAGTAATGAGCAAAAGTCAGACTTTCCTATTGTTGTATATGCATAATGTTACATTACAAGATAGTAGACAAATGAGTGAATGTAATTATAGCTTTGGCTTTAAAATTACTTTCATGGTAGCTGAACTGTGCTGAAGTCAAACTTCTGGATTCTTTGATAAAAGTCCAAAGCTGTACGCTAAATGGTTTTAGGAACAATAAAACATTAAAGATTACAACAAGGGAAGAGAAGATAAGCAATGAGATAAGTAAAGGAGACTGATATCCAAAATGTGCTAGGTGACAACAGCATTATCTTCAATCAGGCATGCTGCCCTCTACCATGGCTGTGTATTTAAGAGAAAAATAATTTTGGTGTATTACAAGATAAGCAGATAAAGAATTTAATATGTGTTATTTAGTCATTCAAAAACCAAAATAAAACCAAACTCACGGCCGTCAAGTCGATTTCGACTCAAAGCAATCCCTCCTTGGGTTTCCGAGGCAATATCTCTACAGAAGTAGATTGCCCAGTCTTCCTTCTGAGTTAGTCATTCAGTACTTACATAAACTACTTATTTTACTACAACAAACTTCCAAGGCCACACCACACAGTAGCCTAGGCTATTGAAAAAATTAGTTTCTTTCTTTTCCCTGACAAGGTCAATATTAATAGAGATAAACCTCAAGAATTACTTAATCTAAAAGAAAATATGAAAATTCACAAATGATAGTATACAGGACACCAAGAAGTTTATCTGATCATTCAAAATTCATATAAAATAATTTAACCATGTGTGTTAGGCTGGGTTCTCTAGAGAAACAAAACCAGTAAAGCTTAGAGAGAGAGAGAGAGAGAGAAAGAGAAAGAGAGAGAGTGTGAGAGAGAAAAATTTATCCTAGGAAAATGGCTCACACAGTTATAGAAGTTGACAAGTCCCAAGTTCCTGGATCAAACATCAAACTGGAGCCTTTTCCCAAATCACACAGCTGCAGGGGCTGATGAGCTTAAGGTTGGCAGGCAGTGTATCAGCTGCTGACTTCAGCAGATGATGAATCCAAGATCACCAGGCAGAATGGTGTATTGTTCACTCACAGACAGTTGTATGCAGCACAACAGCATCCAGATCCACAGACGGTTCTCTTCCCCCCCCCCCCCAAGACATCCTATATACATTAGAAGCAGTCTACACCCCTAGGGAAACTCCCTTTCAACGGACTAGCTGCTCAAAGCATATACATCCAATCTCATCATGGGAATAACCACATCACAACTGCTTAAACCACTCAGACTTGGGGTCCAGTCAAATTGACACATAACCCCAACTATCAGAGTCCACCTCTTGTCAACTTGGCAGTTGTACACATCTCCTTAACTACATATAATCTCTAAATAAGGACAATTGTAAAGTCGTATTTGTGCCTAACATGATACACTAACACACGTACAACCAAAATTGCATTAACCCTGTTTACATTTTATAGTTCATAACTGAAGAAAACAAAAATATTTGATGCACACATACAATGAAGAAATATAACAATCACAGTCCTCGTTTCTGCAACTGGTTATGTGGTTGTAGCTGATGCTCAGAACTACTTTCTTCTACCACCCATTCCAGATTTCCCTTACCCTCAGCAAAGACCTTAGCTGGTTGTGGCTCTTTGCCTTGTGGGGTGACCTAAACTTTAATTCCTGAAGGGTATGG